CACGGGCTCTGCCTGGGGTGGGAGAGGGGAGAAGGGAAAAGGGTTTGGTTGGGATGGGAGAAGGGTTTGATTGGGATGTGAGATGGGAAAAGGGTTTGATTGGGATGTGAGAAGGAAGAAGGGTTTTGTTTGGGGTGGGAGAAGGGTTTTGATTGGGATAGGAGAAGGGAAAAGGGTTTTGTTTGGGATGGGAGAAGGAAGAAGGGTTTATTTGGGATGGGAGATGGGAGAAGGGTTTTGTTTGGGATGGGAGAAGGAAGAAGGGTTTATTTGGGATGGGAGATGGGAGAAGGGTTTTGTTTGGGATGGGAGAAGGGTTTTGATTGGGATGGGAGATGGGAGAAAGGTTTTTCCTCCCTTTTCCTTGCTTCTCCACCCCTTTGAATGCAGTGACAGGAGCTGCTGCTCCAGAATTGCAGCTCCCACTCGTTAACGAGGGTGGCTCCGTGGGTGTCTGGTGGGTGAAGAGAAGCGATTTTGGGTTCCCAGGGCAGGGCAGGGAGAGGGAGACAATCCCTGTGCTGTAGCAGGGGCAGCTGCTGTTGGCTTTGGCTCTGGCTGTGCCCAGAGCTGTGCCCAGAGCTGTGCAGGGTGATCAGGATGCCCAAGGGAAGGGTAAAGCTGACACTCTGTGACTTTGTGCTGGCTCAAAACTCGGCTCTGGAAGGAGGCAGGAGCCCTCTGAGTGAATTTCCTGCTACCCCAGCTCAGCCCAGGTGTGGACACCGGCACCTGCCACCCTCAAGGTGGAGAAAATCCCCAGCAAGCCTTCATTTCCCTGCCCGTGGCTCCCCCCAGGTCTCCCCGTTCCCATCCCTGTGTCCACAGCTGCACACAGAGCTCCAGCAGAGCCTCGTGGGGACCTGCTGGGGCTGATTTTCTCCTTGCCCCTCGCAGGGACACCGATGTCCACACCGTGGCCTCCCTGTTCAAGCTGTACCTGCGGGAGCTCCCGGAGCCCGTCGTGCCCTGGCTGCAGTACGAGGATTTCCTGCTCTGTGGGCAGGCTCTGGAAGCTGATGAGACAAAGGTAGAGGTGTTTTTGTGTTCCTCCTGGCCTTAAAATCGGTCTGAGTGCCAGTTTGGTTGTGAGCTGGAGGTGCCTGTGGAGCTTCGGAACCTGGGGAGGGAAAAAAGAAGGTAAAAAATGAAAAAACTCCCCCAAAGCCAGTGGGGCTTCCCAGCTTGGCCACATAGGTCTGTGAATTTTAAAGCTTAAATTTCTGCTTTTCTTTGGGGTTAAAAACATCCTAAATGTTTCTACACAAGAGACTGGAGGAGTCGAGGCAGGATCAGCTCTTTCCAGAGCTCCCCCCGCACACGCTGGGCTGGGGGGGACCCTGCCCCTCTTGCAGAAACCCCTCAGTGTCCCATGGAGGAAGAATCCAAGGGGAAAAACGCCAGGAGGATCGGAGTCATGGAATGACTGAGCTTGGAGAAGGTCCCCAGGACCATCCACCACGGTGGCCGCTGTCCCCGAGTGCCACCACTCGTGTTTGGAGCCCCCCAGGGCTGGGGACTCCCCCCACAGGAGCTTTGGTGCCTGTGAGTGCTCCTGGAGCTGTTTCTCACCCTGCAGGGCCAGCAGGAGCTGCTGAAGCAGCTGTCCCTCCTCCCCAGAGACAACTACAACCTCCTCAGCTACATCTGCAGGTCAGTGCTCCGCACAGCCCAGCTCTGCTGCTGGGGAGCAGAAACACCACCCCAAAGGATGATGATTCCTCCAGGCAGAGCCTCCCCAGGCTCTGCTGTGGCTCCCTCTGAGTCACCAGAGCCCTGCTTTTGTACAGGAGAATTTCAGCCCCTTGGGTAAAGCCCCTGATAATGTCTGAGCATGAATCACCACCCTCAAACTCACTTAAAAATCCCTGAGAGTTGAAGCCAGATGTAGTTCTCCTGGACAAAAGCACCAAAACTTCTGGGTTTCACTCAGCCTGGGTGGTTTTTTTCTCTGGTTGGGGATTTGAGGATGGGATTCTCTTTCTCTCTGATTTGTTTCAAGGGGAGCAGCTCCTCACTTGGTGGTTTTTGTCCTGGTAAGAGCCAAATGTTCTAATTCTAAAGCCAAATATTTCTGTCCTTGTGGCTGAGAGGAAGAGCTGGCAGGATCAATCAGGATTTTTTTCACCAGTGAGGCTTTTTTTTTTTGCAGTTTTCCACCTCTGATGTGAAATATTTCCTCTGGAATTCTGGCAGGTTTCTCTTTGAAATACAACTGAACTCCAGCGTCAACAAGATGAGTGTGGACAACCTGGCAACAGTGATTGGAGTGAACCTCATCAGACCCAGGGTAGAGGACCCTGCAGTTATCATGAGAGGTAAAAGGGACTCCTGGAATAATTGGCATGCTGCAATCCTGAGCTGCACCACAGCCTGGAAATGAAAGATCAATGAAAGGTTTTCTGTGGTGGAGCTGAAGGAAATGCGGGAACGTGCCACGAGTGCAGCAGGGCAGGGTCAGGCCGTGTGTTTGTTGGGCTGTAAAGGCGCTCATGGTGACAAAACCCCCCAGGAATTACACTCTGTGTGTTCCCCTGGTGCAGTTCAGCAGATTTGGTGAGGTCATCTCCGTGCTGCTCAGAGCAGGAAGGTACAAAACCCTCCTTGGGGGAGCTCAAATGTGGGAACTCATTTCCTTTCACTCATTGCATTTATTTTATTTGGCTTCATGATCCTGCTCCTTGTTTCCTGTTCCAATTTAGACACCAGAAAGAGCAAAGAGAAAACCCAAGGGGTGGCAGGGATCCCCTGGCCTTGCCCCTGAGCCTCTCCCATTCCTGCAGGCACACCCCAGGTCCAGAAGGTGATGACTGTGATGATCAGTGACCACCAAAAGCTCTTTCCCCCATCCAAGGACGTGCCTCCCTCCCCACCTGCCCCAAAAAACGAGAAGAAAGCTCCTGTCCCTCGCAGCTCTGTGGGCTGGGGGGCTGCAGAGGACCCCAGAGCCTCCACCCAGAGGCAAACGGTAAGGATGGATCCCCAGGGGGAGTAATCAACCTTCATTTAACCTGTGGTTAATTGTGGCAGGCTCGGACAGGTCAGCCAGCCCTAAAAGCACTTGCTGCTTATGGGTTAAAAAAAGCTGTATCTGTCACCCCTGGGATATTTATATCAGGAAAATGATGTAGATAAACTTTCCACTTTCCTGTGGAAAAATCTGCTGTTCTGGAGAACATGAAGATTTTCAAACACATGAAACTTTTTCAGCTCAGGCTGGTGGAGGGAAAACAACGAGGATTAAAGGTTTTTCCCTAAAGGAATCTCTGCAAAAATGGTCAATGTGGTGAAATTCAGAATGGTTTTTTGGTTTTTTTTATGGAAAAGTGTGGCCATTCCTCCAGCAGGTTCAAATGTCACTTTGTCACTGCAGTGGCCTCTGGGCTCCAGGGCTCTCCCAAAGCCGTGCTCTGTTTTCCAGAGGGATCACCCCAACTCCAGCAGCGTCCCTGGGCAGGACACAGAGTCCAAAGACACCCTGGGAAGGTGGGAAACGCAGCCAAGGAAAAGAACCCAGACTTTACCTACGAGGAAATCCTTCCTGGCAGCGGCTGCTCCGGGGGAGAGGAGCAGCAAGGAGAGGAGCGATGCCCTCAGCAGTGATTTTTGGAGAGGCAGCCCACTCCCCACAGCCTCTGATGGACACAAGAGAACGCTGTCCCATGATCTCTTCAAGCTGCTGGACCTGCACAGGGCCGGTGAGAGCGTTCCCCCCTGGCAGGCAGAGAGCGGGGAGGGCTCCAGCCCTGCCAGCAGCATCTCCGAGAAGGAATTCCTGCCCTGCTTCAGCCAGGAGCCAAAGGAAGCTGCCAGTGCCAGCAGCAGCCCTGCTGAGGAGCCCAGCCCCGAGCAGGGGAGCAGGGAGTGCCTGCAGAGCCTGATCCTCAAGCTGGAGAAAGATCTGGAGGAGCAGAGAAATGACTACGAGGGGCAGATGAAAAGGTAACTGCAGGGAGCTGGGGGACGTGCAGCTCGTGCTGTGGCAGCAAACACAGCACAGATTGTTCAGCAGCAGCGCTGAATGGATCAAACACAGCTTTTAGCAGGCTGAAAATGAGTGTGCTGTGCTCTCAGCAGGGTGGGTGATGTGTGATTGCAGCATCAGTGCTCTTCCCACGTCATTCAGTGGCACTGAAACGTTCCTGCATCCCTTTGCACTTCCACAATTCCTGTGATTATAATTCCTGTGATTGCCACGACCCTCAGACTCTCCAGGGTTCACCAGCAGCATCGTTACACCCTTGGTTGTGACCATCAGCCCCACATAATGTTATTAAATTATGACTGGTATCAGTCATCATTTATAATTTTTTAAAATTATTTATTATTAAATTATTTAGAATTAAATATAATTAAAGTATTTATAATTTAAATTTATAACTATATAATCCCCCTATCAGTGCACACACATCACATTTATTGATTTATTGCATCTGAAGGGCTCAGGACAGCACCTCTGGGTTGTTTTGCTGTTTAATGATGCTGAGCTCAGACTCCCTGAGAGCCAAACGATTTCCCAGCCCTTTTCCAGCCCAATCCTGTCAGGATTTGTCCTCTCAGGATTTTTTTGATGTCCTGCTCTGTTTCCCTTCACAGCCTCCAGAAGGAAAACTACGAGGTCTGGGCCAAAGTGGTGAGGCTGAATCAGGACTTGGAGCAGGAGAAGAAGAAATGTGTGGAGCTGGAGCTGAGGCTGATGAGGGCAGAGCACGCCCGGGAGGAGCTGGAGAGGAAAACCAAGGTGCTGGAGGAGGAGATAAAAACTTTAACACAAGCCACAAGTCAGACTGGTGCCAAAACCAACTAGGAGGAGACACTCAGCTTTTCACAGACACCAAATGCAGCTGCACAAATGCACAGGAGCTGCAGCTCCAGAGCCAGGGACTTGCACTGTGCAGGGTCCTGCTGCTGCCCACAGGCCGAGGGGGAGGAAGGAGAGCAGAGCTCAGAGCTTGGTTCACTCTCTGAACCTGGAAATTATTTCAAAAATATCCTTTAGCTTTTTTTTTTTTTTTGGGGTGTGTTTATTTCAAGTCTTCTTTCAGCTGCTCAGGTTGGCTGGAGAAGAGGCCAACACTTCCTGCTGCTCAGGCAGAATTGCACTCACAGGTCTGGGGTATGGACATTGTGCCTTGACAGAAAGAAACCAGAAGTGTCTCTCCTCCAGCTGCCTGGAAAAACCTCCCTGGCTGCTGGATCTGGGCAGGCAGAGGCGCTGAGCGAGCCCAGCCCTGGGTGCTGGAGGTGCTCACATCAATCCCCAGGGCTCTGAGATCTGCTGTGCTGTGCCAGCCACCCACAGCAAACCCCACTGTCACCAAACCTCTGCAGCTCGGGGGTTTTCAGCTCTGTTCTCACAGTTTTCACTCTTCCCACAGCCAGGTGCTGCTAAACCCAGCACAGCTGACAGAGCTTGGGGAGCATTTCCCCACACCTGAACCTGCAGCGACTCCAGCACAGGAATTCTGATTTTTCCCTGATGGGCAGCCTCCAAAGGATGACAAACCTGCACTTATTTACTGCTGGTTTTGTCCTTTCTGAAGAGCAGAACAGGATTTTCTCAGCCAGCTTGTGGAACCCTGGATTTGCAGCCCAGTGAGGACGTTTGGCCTCTCCCCATCAAAGACCCAAAGGTGTCCCCGTGGTTTTTTTTGTCACCTTTCTGCTCGTCCCTCACCCCTGCCTGGCTCCTTCCAGCCCTGCCACAGCTTTTGGTGGAGGAAAGAAGAGCAACAGGACTCCAAAACCGTTCTTTTCTCCAGAAAAGACAGAAAACCTTTCATTTATTTATTTGGGGAGGGGGAACAGCCCAGCCTAGAGCCTGGCTGAGGGCAGGAGAGGGAGAACCAGAGAGATCTGCACTTTTCAAGCTGGATCACCCCTCTGGGTTCTGGCTGCTGAGGATTTGGCTTTGGTGAGGCAGAATTCATCTCCAGCCAGGCTGCAGAGCTGTGAGACAGGAAAAACAAACCGGGAGGAGAAAGGGACACAGAGGGAAATGGGGGGAACAGGAGGAGATGGGAGTGGGAAAACGATATTGGAGAATAAAAGTCAGCGTTGGGTATAAACACCTGCTGCTCTCAGCCTTGCTGGGACTGGTTTAACCCTAAAACTGAGCCCAGACTCAGCCTCAGGTTCAGTTTGGTGCATTGAACCCAGCCTAGCTGTGGATATAAAGCCTGGGGAAGAAGCCGAGCTGAATTCAAAAATCCAACCCCCGAGTGACTTGTGTGACCTCCAGCCCCTGACTCCGGGGATTTTCCTGTGCACAGAATGCCCAGAGCCCACACAGCTCCTCCTTGCTGTGTTCATTTCATGTTTTACCTCTGCAAGGAGCTCCTCACCCATCCAGGAGCCACCAGGGAGAAACTTCTGGGTGGGGTCCAGGAGCAGCATCGTCAACATCTGGGCTGGAAATGCCACACGCTCCTTTCTGCAAAGATCAAAAGTGTGAAGAGGCCAATAATTCCTTCAGAGCAGACTGTGCTGACGTGCAGAGTCCTGGCTGAGGCTCAGAAAGCTCCAGCATTGGGACAAGTGCACGTTATTTAAAATAAACTGCGCATTCCTCCGCTTCCGCTCAGATAGGCTGTGAGGATCTTTAGCTCCTCTGGAGATGTTCCACACATTATTAACATCTGCAGGGTTTGCAGAGGTCATCTGGGAAAAAAGAGACTTCCCAGTGGAGCTCAGGTGGGCTGGAAGCTCCTTGTGAGATGGAAGAGAATGAGGATTGATTATTTTTTTTTTAAATTGAGTTTTTTGCAGAGACGGAGAATTGCGAAGTGCCCGTGTGAAACTGCACATTTTCCATCCCTGTCCTCTCTGCTCTGCCCAGAGCCTGCTCTGGGTTCTCTGCACATCACAAACACTGTGACTGCTGCCCAGCCTGCATTTCCCATTTCCCCAGGCCATGAAGCTTCTTTGGGCTGGGAGCAGCAGAGAATTTCTCCTGTTCCTGGGGCACAGCAAACTCACGGTGGGGGTTTATCATCTCTGTCTACCACCGAGACCAAAGATCCTTTCCAGCCCTGTCCTGCAGGCTTGGAAACCTTCAAAAATACATTTTTCACCCCCTAACCCTCCTCACTGCCCCGTGAGAGCTTTACCAACCTGAGATCAGATTTTTTAAAATGTGACCTGGCTTTCCAAATGAGAGCTGTCAAACCACAGATCCCAACTCATCCTAAACTCTTAAATCATGCAATTTGGGATGAAATCACCACCTTTTAGGCTTTCAGTCCCCTCACTGGATTCTTTGTGCTAGAGCAGAAACTCTGTTTTGCTCTGCTCAGGTATTTACTAAATAAATTCATTTAGGAATTCACTCTGTTTTACCCAAGGCTTCGGTGAGGCAAGAAAATAAAACTGTCCTTCCCACATTATTGCCTTTGGATCCCGGTCACTCTTATTGTGACTTTCCTCTCATATTTATCAAAGTTGTGTTTTTTGGCACGATAGGAACTTTCCTTTTTTAGCCTGGCCAGTGCTGAGAGGAGCACGTTGCAGCGGGAGGCGAGGTGGACGTGCAGGAATTGTCCAGCCGTGGCTGAGGAGGCCTTGAACAGAGCCCAGGAGCAGCGAGAACATCTCGTTCTCCCCAGAAATCACAATCCATCCACCCTCCCTCTACGTGGGAGCTGGAGGATGCCCCCAAAACAGGCTGGTGTTGGGAAGGGAACACCTCCAGGCCTCCAGGTGGGGAGGAGGAGGAGGAGGAGGAGGCAGCACCTGCCCTGGGTTCTCCTTGCTGCAGCGCTGGGATCCACAAAGCCACGGGGGAAAAATAACCTGGAAAAAAAAGGAACATCCTGCTGATTCCAGAGATCACAAGGAGGAAACAGGGGCTGGGAGCTGTCTAAATGAGCTGTTCTTTGGGGAAAATCCTCATCTGCTGGAGCCCCAGGGGTTGCAGGTCTGGGAAGGGTGGGATGTTCACCCTGGGCACAGCCGAGCACCGATGCTCCAGCCCTGGGAGAATCCACGCTGCCAAAACCTCCCCACCGAGGGCAGCTCCCCCTTTTCCTCTGCAGGGAATTCCCAGCAGCAGGAGGGGAATTTGGGGCCGGGTTTCTCAGTAAATGAGGTTTCAGACACAGAGACAGGGATTTTTCCCAGCTGTGGGGCAGAGCAGAGGCCCCAGTGGTGCTGCAGGACTCCGGTAGGAGACATCAGAAGGAAATTCCCTGTTTTCTTCTGAGCCCATCACGGGAGGAAACTTCCCAAAAAGCCCTTTTCACACAGAACTCTGTCCCTGTGGCCTCCTGCACCCCGTGTGGCCGAGGCTTGTGAGAATTTGCTTTATCACAAGGTGATATTTCATCCCTCTTCACACCCTGTCCCAAAAACAGGGGCTGGCACAGGGCAGCGTTCCTGAATCCTCAGCTGGGAGAGATTTCCCCCAGCCAGGGGGGCAGGGGCCAGGCTCTGACCCCTGGCTAACGAAAGCAGGATAATTCTTGGCCTGGCACCTGCCTTGGGAGCATGTGAGAGGTAAATCTTTCCTTTCCCTGGCAGCGTTTCCTTCCTCACCTCCCTGATAAAGGCAGCTCCCCTCGAGCTCCACGTTCCCCTGGGTGAGATCCACACTCAAGCCCGAGGGCCAGGAGGGGTTTGGAGTCTTTTCAGTGACACCTTCACCCCCGTGTGTCCCTTCCTGGAGCTCCAGGGATGGATTTTTGAGCGCTGTCAAGTGTTCCCTCCGCGTGCATCCGCGTTTCTGATGCCCCTGGAAGTCTGCTGCTGGTCTCAAGTGCTGAGAGCTGCATGGAAATGCCTTTCCAAAAGGAGTCAGGAGGTCAGCCAAGCACCCCAAGGACAGTTGTTCCCAACACAACAGCTACCGACAGCGCTGAGGAGTGAAAGGTCAAAACACCCACTGCAAACTGGAGTGTTGTCACACCCTGGGATGTTTCCACCGGGGGACCTTGTGATATCCCTCCTGCCCAGGGTAAGGGAAGCTCTGCAAAGTGGGAAATGGGGATAAATCCCCTTTACAGGTTGCCATGGAATGGTTGGAAGGGACTCAAAGCTCACCCAGTGCCACCCCAGCCATGGCAGGGACAATTCTCCCTGTCCCTGTCTGCTCCAAACCTCATCCAGCCTGGCCTTGGGCACTTCCAGGGATCCAGGGACAGCCCCAGCTCCTCTGGGAATCTGTTGAAGGAATCAATCCCTTCCCTTTATCTAACCTAAATTAACTAATTTGAAACCTAAACCTTATAAACACCCTAAAACCTGGCAGCCACAGAAGCAGGCAGAGCCCTCCCAAAGCTCCTGCATCGCCGCCGTGCCCGGGCAGGCAGCGGTGACAGCTCAGGAAACGGATTCCACCGAATCTCACAACAACTGATGGCAGCTGCTCTAATCTCTGCCAGATAAGGAGTTGCCACAGCAAATCCAACATAAAGCTGAGCTCCCTGGCAGGCTGGGCTGTTGTTTAGCTGCTGTTGCTAGCCAGCTACTGTACCTGATTGCAGAGACCACCCTGCCTCCGACCTCCTCACTTAACTCCACACGTTTGCAGCAGCAAGTGAAGCTCCCAGCCTGGACAGGCTCAGTCACACCGGGGTGAAGGACGCTGGGCAGCTCCAAAGCTGCTCTGAGCATCCCTCAAAGCCACAGCAGAACCACTGCCAGCAGCTCCTGTTTGTATTTTTATAATTCTAATTTCTAAATCTATAATATTTTAATTTAAATATTTTTATATTTGTATCCTGCGCAATATTTCTGTTAATATTGGGTGGGTGCTCCTGCAGCAGCCCAGCTACACCAAAACACAGCCTGCTGCCTTTTCATCACAGAAAAAAAGAAATATTTGGGGATTGGGAGCAAGCCAAGAGGCATTGCTCTGTGTCACGGAAATCCAGTCCTCTCCTATAATTTCCTTTATTGTGGCCCTGCTGATTGCTTTTATCCCTCCTGTTTCCTGTCTTTCCTTCATGAAAATACAACCCAAAGTCTTGCTAAGCCCTGGAAATGCTGGGCTGGGTTTGTGCTGGGAGCAGAATCCCACTGAGGGCCAGAGACCCCCGGGGAATTCCTTTGCACAGCCAGGAAAATCCCTTCTTTTAAAAATTCTCCTTTTAACGGCAGAGCAGGAGCTCAGAGCAAGATCAGGGTCACCTTTTGTGTTTGCTGTGACACAGCAGCGCCCTGGCACTGCCCGGGCTGGAAACAGCCAGCTGTGGCCAGAGGGCCAGCATTAATACCCAAAAATACCTCACAACATTAATTAATACCCAAAAATAACTCACTCCATTAATTAATACCCAAAATTAACTCACTCCATTAATTAATACCCAAAAATAATTCACTCCATTAATAAATACCCAACAATAATTCACTCCATTAACTAATGCCCAAAATTAATTCATTAATACCCAACAATAACTCACTCTATTAATACCCAACAATAATTCACTCCATTAATAAATACCCAACAATAATTCACTCCATTAATACCCAACAATAATTCACTCCATTAATAAATACCCAAAAATAATTGACTCCATTAATTAATACCCAATAATTCATTAATACCCAACAATAACTCACTCCACATCATCAGCCTCTCCTTCCAAGGGGTGCTGATAAGAATTTCCATTTTTAGTCAAGGGCAGATGAACCATTCAGCCTTTATTTGTTGCTGCTGCGCTCGCCGAGGGAGCAGAAGATGATTTTTTAACTTTTCCTGTAAATAACGCTTTAATGAAGACAGATGGGTCAGCAACATAAACAAAAGCTCTATCTCAAGCTGGTTTTGTTCTGGTTTTGTTTCCCAATATAGAAAGCAAAGCACCACCACCCCCCCGGTTCCCAGCCTATTAACAGGGGTTGCACTCCAAATGTTGAACTGGGTTATAAGGAAGTTTAAATTAACACTGGGCTGTAGTTTTTCAAATGTTTGAAGCAGATGTTCAAGTGCCACGAAATCCTCCTGGTTTTTTTTTTTGCTTTGTTTTGGGTTTTTTGGGGTTTTTGTTTCATTTTGTTTTGCCCCTCAATAGATTTTGCAGGGCTTTGGCTCAGTGTGTGTCACAGAAAATCCTAAACTGCACCAGGCACCAAAATCACATTTTCCTTTGGTAATTCTGCCCTGCTGTGGGTTCTGCTTTGCTCTCTGAGCAGGAGTTTTGGGAAGGAGAAATTTGGAATAAGTCAGGGCTGCTGCTCTGATTTAAAACTTAGATTTTTCCTAAGTGAGCTGAGTTTTGTGGAGGTTCCTCTGGTGCTGCTCCCCTGGCAGGACACAGAGACCTTGCAAAGGGACGTGTCCCCAACACTGAGGAGCCCAATTTGTCCCCCAAAGATGGGATGGGTGTGAGCCAGCACTGCAGGACAGAAAATCCAGCCCAAAGAGCCCAGAGCAAGGGCAGGGCCAGGAAAAATCACCTGAGTGTCAGGTCTGGCACTAAAAACATCGGGAATCTCAGGATATCAGCCTGCTCCAGGGTCCCACCCCACAACACAGGCAGGCTTTGGGGAGAAATCTATTTGAGGAATTTTCCTCTCTGCCATCGTTTGTTTTGCTCCTCTGCCTGCTCTGCCTGGAATTTTATTGTGAGCCAGCAAAAAAAAGGGGATCCACAGCTGCTCACAATTTCTTTTACAAGTTCAGTTAGAAACAGGTGGAAGCAATAATCCTGCTGATGGTGGTGATGATGGATGGATGGATGATGGATGATGGATGATGGATGGATGATGGATGATGGATGGATGGATGGATGGATGGATGGATGGATGATGGATGGATGGATGATGGATGGATGGATGATGGATGGATGATGGATGGATGATGGATGATGGATGATGGATGATGGATGGATGATGGATGGATGGATGGATGGATGGATGATGGATGGATGGATGATGGATGAATGATGGATGGATGGATGGATGATGGATGATGGATGGATGGATGGATGATGGATGGATGATGGATGGATGATGGATGGATGATGGATGATGGATGGATGATGGATGGATGATGGATGGATGATGGATGGATGAATGGATGGAGTGGGATCAGTTGGGATGAATGGAGCAGGATTATGGCAGGATTGGGGTAGGATCAGATTGAGATTCCAGAGAGGAACTGGGGCAGAATAGATGGAGCAGGATTGAGGTGGGATCAGGTGGGATTCTGGAGCAGCTCCTGCTCCCCATGGCCTCCAGCCAGGTCCATCCTGTGGAATGGGGACAGGGACAGGGTGACACCGTGATCCTCTCTCATCCCGGCAGGAATCACCGCTGGAGCGATCCACGGAGCTGGATCCGGCCCTTTCCCTCTTCCCAGGAATGCTGAGAGCTGCCAGCAGAGCTCATCCCACTGCTGCCACCCACCCCACAGCTCTTGCTAGCGGATCGATTTCCTGTTTTCCAATATTTTAGAGCCAAAACCCACAAATATTCCTGATGCTTT